GGGGGGATCGTGATGCACTGGATAGCAAGTAACATTTTTACCGACTGAACTCGTAGTTGTTGGCACTCATTTTGTTGTTGTTTCGCCATCGCTGGGGATAGATGGCAGTGATGTCAATGATGTCATACACCACCTGCGTTGCTAACGTACGTACTGATGTGAAGGTTTTATAATCTGTGCTGATATCTACCAAAGTATATTGTACTGTTGTCATTGTTCTTAGTTGAGAACGCAGGTTGGGAATATGAGTTCTCTTGGTTTTGTAAATTGTAATGTTCTTTCTTCTTCGAAATGGAATTTTTTTATTCCTGGTGCGAAACAAAAATGTTGCATATTTATAATGTAAACGTTCAGTTAAAACTATTTAAATATCCCGGCTTTTTTAGCAGACGATATTGCGATTCTTCCCCCGTCTCGCGTACAAAGTCTGCATTTGTTGTCAAATATGGCTGCGAAGGTCCATGTGGATAGTAGTGTTGGTGAAAGAAGACTTCGTCCAATATACGGTAATAATGCAATATAAGAAGTCGGGATATGTTGGTAGGAAACCATTTGAGAATAAATACATTTATTTGGGTGTAGGGTTGTATTCTTTTGTGGAATAATGTACATGTTGCTTTTGTATGAGTAGATTGTAAACATTTGTATTTTTAAATATATCTCTGCTCTTCTAGATTGGCTTGACAATGGCAATAACAAGAAGGCTCTGCAGGAAGCTGAGAAAGTCCTTAAGAAGCAGCCGAATTTCCAATGTGCAAAGGTACAACAAAATGAGCACTTGGATTTGTGTTTTAAATTGATCCATTGCTTTGTAATTATCTTTAATATAATGTAATGTTTTGAATGAGTTTTGTAAACAATTTGAATAATTATTATCCATAGGTCCTCAAGGCTCTTGCACTGCTGCGTCTTGGAAAAGAGGATGAATGTATGCAGCTTCTTGATGCTGTCAGAACTGAAATACCATGTGATGACTCCACGTTACAAGCTATGACCATCTGTTATCGAGAGATTCACAATCGTATGCTAGCAGGTTTTTCTGAATGAGCATGATTTTGTGTATTATGGTGTTCATCAATTGGAACTAAATTTTGTTGCATTGAAACTGGTTAAGACATTTTACAATTAAATTTATGTACTTGATCATATGATACTAATTTTTAGAGTAGAATTTTTTATACAGAGGCAAGACAGAGAGTGTAAGATTAACTCACTTGAAACTTAGCCACAAAACTGTGGCTGCCAACTAAACTATAATATGTTACCTTTAACTAGCATAATCAGAGTACTGATAGTACCGGGTCTACAATTTATGCTGTAACGGCCTTGCTTGCGTTGCGTGGTCGGCTGGCGATCTGGTGACGTCGGCCGGACTGGTCCGTGTTCTTCCCGTGAACACAGGCGAATCAGTTTCATTGCGTCTCTCGTCGCGGATTGACGTTGATAATATGGTGTACAGTATTAAGCAACGTGTGTTCTTAGTCGAAACATATGCCAAATATTCATCCTACGGAAGATGCCGCCGTAAATATCGCAGACATTTTCCCGAAGAACCAGGAAGCTGGGGGTAGCCGATGCCAACATGTTAGTCTATTGCGGTTGGATGAAACGGATATTTTGGTCGTGTTAGATAATTCGTTGATGCGATAATTGTTCCTGTGCTCAAGCGTCTTCTTCACGCTTCGACCTGCTTTACCCTCGGTGGTCAGGGGATAGCAGACTAGGTGGGCCCCAGAAACATACTGAACGCAGATAGAGGGCGGGAACTTCGCCCCGTAGTCCACATAAAACCAGGATCACGATCGACTATGGCCGCCGGATACGGAGTGTTTCGAAAAAGCATTCACGGACAGCCGACAAGGGGTGATTCTCCGACTTGTGTGTTGGGCGTGGGGCTAACAATTGCCGATTGTGAGAATAATAAATTGTTCCGACGTTTTGTGCGTGTCCTCTGACTGGGACGGAATATTTGCAACGACCCAAGCTGGACTAAGCGGAATCAAAAATAAAAGACAAATGACTTGTTCTTACGCTCATCTGCTCCTTAACGTGATACGTGAGAATTATATTTTTCATATATGCCTACAATTTGTACTTGACAATTTTGTAGTTGCATTTTGTGTCTTATAGGGTCTACAATTTATGCTGTAACGGCCTTGCTTGCATTGCGTGCTCGGCCGAGTGCACTGTTGGTGTGGGATAGAGATAGCGTGTTATTCCCGTGAGTCACAGGCGAATCAGTTTCATTGCGTCTCTCGTCGCGGATTGACGTTGATAATATGGTGTACAGTATTAAGCAACGTGTGTTCTTAGTCGAAACATATGCCAAATATTCATCCTACGGAAGATGCCGCCGTAAATATCGCAGACATTTTCCCGGTGAAAGTGTTCCTAGCAGGCCCACGATAGAGAGATTAATAAAAAAAATTTGTAGTACGGGATCAGTTTTGGATAAAAAGAAGAACAGGAAACCACAATTCATTTCGGCAATTTCCCAAGAAGAGCTTCGTCAAGTATTTCGAAACATGTTAACGAGATGTGAAGCTTGCCTGCAAGCACAAGGAAGTCACTTTGAACATCTTTTGTGATTTAAGGTAAGAAAATTAATGTAATAACATGTGTTAGTGACGAGAAATATTCGTAGTTCGCTGTTACTAGCGGCACTGAAACTGATTCGCCTGTGACTCACGGGAATAACACGCGCCAGCCTGCCGACGTCAACAGTGCACTCGGCCGAGCACGCAATGCAAGCAAGGCCGTTACAGCATAAATTGTAGACCCGGTATAATAGGAAGCTGCCCTCATTCTCACTAAGAATGTCAGTGATGAATATTATGTTTCAGTAGGTTATGCTATCTTATGATGGGCTGGGGGTACTCAGCATTTTCGAGACTTGTGGCCACATTCCATCGACTTGAGGATGGCAAGTTTATAAATGAGAGCAGTTTGTTGGAATGTCATGGATGTTTAGTAAGACTGCTATGAAATTGTACCTGTTATTGCAAACAGGTGTACGTATTTCTTAACAATTTCTTTAACAAAATTGGTCATTAGTAGGGTTCGGATGTTCATGACCTAAAAAAACTGAGAACTATGCATGCAAATATGCCCCAAAAAATAGCTAAATATGACCCAGAAAAGGCAAAATATGACCTAATTAGTTAAGAAAAAATATTCGCTAAAATATAAAAAAAGTGTTTTGCATTTCAATCATGTTATTTATTTACATATGCATGTGCAACTATTACATTACTTGATTTCCTAACAATTTTAATCAAAAACCTTAGTCTTTTTAAGTTGTAAATGCCTTGTTTTGGATCAGCATCAGATGTTGAGAATATGTGCTCCTATAAAAATAAGATAAATTTTAAGAAAGAGCCTTTCATGAATTTCAAATTCATTAATTACAAATAAATAAATGAACAAATTTCAAAATATTAAGTACCTTTCTTCATTCTCTTTCTTGGCAGCATTACAATATATAATGATGTGCATTTACAAGGTCTCAAATGAAAATCTTCTTAGATTGTCGAACAATATGGTGTTGTAACTTGAGACATCACAAACGTTTCATGGCTTTATCAAAAATTACATTGATAGAGGAGTGGTTTACTGTATCAAGAAGGAATACGTCACTAGGGCGGTCAGCAATGAGCATGCCAATAACAACATTCCCTACATATCTACCATAGACATCTGTTGTTTCATCAACCGAAACCCAAATCTTATTGTCGCCCACAGTACATGTAATTATTTTCAGAAAATCTCCATTACAGGCAGGTACATAGTTTTTTCGTAGTGTTAATTCGTCTGGAATTAACCGAGTCACGTATTTCTCCAAGAAAAATTTGAATTGCTCATTGTTTACTTTGTCCAGTGGTATGTTGGCAGACACCATATTTTCACACAGGTCCTTTGAAAATTTTGATGTTTTGTTTGATGGTGAAGGTGTTGCAGTGTTATCGAACAGAAGTCGTTGCTTGCTTTGATGACTGGTTTGTTTCAAATTATTTTTATGTTTTGCTGTATCACAATGTTGTTGCACATTAAATCGCTTACCAGTTGTAAATTTAACTTCACAAAGTTAACAGAGCAGAATTGTTCCATCAGAACTAAAATATTCCTCGCTAAAATCTTTAACTAAACCTCTTAACATCGCACTTTCAGAACACTTCACTTTCGGCATCTTAACCAACTGAAGGATTCACTGTAAATACAAGTAAGAATCCAAAACCAGAATATAACTAAAATATGAATTATATCCTCAAAATATAACCAAAATATGCATTTTATCCTCAAAATATAACCAATATATGCATTTAACTACAAATATGACAAAATGATCTAAATATGCATTTATATACAAAATAAATACAGTCTAATTGTGATAAGAATAACCCAATTAGTGTTTAATTTCAGTTTAGAATGAAAATAGAAGCCTCAATAAAAATATGACATATCATGAACATCTGAACCCTAGTCATTAGTGATGAGTTTGAGACTATGTTTGGTTATGTAAATCTTTTAAATATCAAGTTTAATTTTGTGTTGCTTTAATTCACATAATTCTCTGTAAGTGTTAATCTGTGAAGCATGTCTCATTTTTTATTTGATATTTTTCTTTAAGCTGAATGGTTACTCGCAGTGATATTTACTGCCAAGTACTGATGACAATAACAAGCTGTGCCGTCAAATATTAGGTAACTATTAACCATAATACAGACTGACGCAGTATAATAAATGAAAGGAGCCTATGTGGGCTGCACAAAACATTGGCCGGCCACAGGCTAAGAACCCCACAGTTAAATTATTTAAAGGTAACATATTATTCTTCAGTGGGTAGTCATTGTTTTTGAGTCATGTTTTAGTAGCTGTAAACCTCACTCTTCCTGTTGCACCTCTGTTTACAAGAATTCTACCATTCAGAGTTTCTGCTGAGGTACATCAAACATGTTTTTGTATTTTAGCTGAACGGATATGTGAGATATATGAGGCAGCTACAAAGAAAGAACCAAATAATGAAGAGCTCCTGACCCATTTGTTTATGTCGTATGTTCGCGTGGCTGACTACAAGAAACAACAGCAAACTGCGATGGCACTCTACAAGCTTAAACCGAAGAACCCATATTACTTTTGGGCTGTGATGAGTGTTGTAATGCAGGCACATAAGGCTGACGAAAAGTTGGCCAAAACTGTTGTACTCCCTCTTGCTGAGAGAATGGTAAAGAAGTTTGTGTCTGATGGGAAGATTGAAGCGGAGCAAGAAGTCCAACTTTATCTAATGATTTTGGAGATGCAGGTCTGATGATTTGGTCTAGTAGTATGAAATATTCTATCATTTATTTGTGTGAGTTGGGATTTAATTTTATTAGTTGTTGAACCAGGTGTTGCCTGTAAATGATGTAAATATTGGTTTATTGTATTTTATTTTGGTTTATAAATTTTGTGGTCATTATTACATTAGCTTGACATAGATTGTCTAATAATATATATGTATGTATTAAACATTATAATGTACATGCTAAGTTTTAAAGAAACCAGCAATAGTTTCATCATTTATTTCCATTTTTAATGTGTAGTACATATTATTATTTTATAAAGAATGCAGATGTGGTTTACTTTATTTTGGTTGGGGTGGTACATGGATAGCATAGTTTCATGGGAACTGCCTAATTTTACCATTTTATGGTTAGGAGATGAGTAGTAGTAGGTTATATACAAGGCAGAGTTACATATCAGAGTGCCACAGTGAAAGTACTTTTCTTAACATTTTATTTATGTGTTTTGTTGAAACAGTTATATGTGCGAAGTTTAACTTGGTTTACTTAACCAGAATCTCCCTGCATATTGAAACTAATTATTATTATTGTTATTATTAATGCCATTTATGATTTTCTTCTTGGATTTAGTACCATGTAGATTGATAAATCTACACAGCATCAAAAAATAGATTATTATCATCCTCACCACTGTGAAAATGTCATCTTAAAGTCATGGAGCTATTTTCATGTTCATGGAAATAAGCAGAGCTGAAAATATTTATATGAGAAGTCCAAGAACTCATCTAACCTGTTCACTGTGTGTTTTTCTTATTCCAGGGTAAATATGATGAGGCGTTACAAGTTGTGGAAGGACCATTAGGTGAAAAGCTTATTTCATATGTGTTCATTCCTTTGAAGAGAGCTAGCCTACTCATGAAGTTGGAAAGGTGGCGAGACACCAATATTCTGTACAAATTGCTTCTAAGAGAAGAGTAAGTATTTGTACAATCTAAAAGAATGATTACTATGTAGGAGAGGACAGATTGGAAGGGAAAAGTACATATAAAACTTTCCTTAGTAAGCCATTTTATTGGACCAAGAGCTAGATTGCAGAATAGCAATCTGTTATAATTTATTTGAGTACCAAATTCACAGTCCATGCATGTAGTAACAGTAACTGACTATTCAGCAGATTGGAACTCGTACTATAGCATGAGTAGTAAATCAAGGTCACTTCGTCCAAAGTAATACAGAATTCCTCACATCGAACATTAAAATTCAATGATTTTTATTCCTGCTTCATATTCAGGTGGTCCATGGTTTTTGTTTTGGTCTGGAGACCAGCCATCTTGAATGCAGCATTTTGTGGTTATCATTAGTAGCTCCAGGCAAATGTCAGGATAGTATCTTAAGTTTGGCCATGACCATTTCTTTCTGTATCCTGTCCATTTCATTATTCATTAATTATCCTGTCATTTGACACTGTATAGTCTGAGCTACTGGCGGCATATTGAAAGAAGTTACAAATAAATAATAAATACTTGCAACATGATTTCATTGATATGCTGAGATATGATGTCTGTGACAGTCCTTGCTATATTCAGAAGTGTGATGAATATGCACATCAACATCATGTGTGTTTCAGACCCACATTATCGGGAATAGTTAGGGCATTCCTACACATAGTATGGAGATGACTTGATTTTTTGTCCTCTCTAAATCGTGATACATTCTTATGTTAGAAATGGCTATTAAAATGTTGATAATATAGACTACCACTTTTATACTGCAGTTTATGGTTATGTGATGAAACACGAATAATTTTCTTGACCTCCCCAATTTTACGTTAGAAATGGCATTTTGAAAGTTACTGCTGTATATCCCATTTTTGCATACTTCACACCTCCTTTGTCCAATTCTACAAACAACTTTGTACTGTTATTTTTGAAAATGTTTCAAATTCATTTCCATTATTATTACAGCATGGATCGCTGGTCATATTATATGGACTACTTCACATCTGCTCTAGCATTGCTTGATTCTGGGCAAAATGATTCTGCTAAGGTAGCAGATTCAGTGACACCAACTGACAGTGATGGGAGCATTGATGCAAGGTGGCAGGTTGCAGACTGTACACTTGAAATGTGCAAGGATTTTCTATCCCTTTTACTGTCAGAGAATGAGGCTCTCTCTAGACGGTTGCGGGGACCATATCTTGCCTATCTGGAATTTTACAGAAGACTTCATGAAAGAGGAGACAACCCAGAAGAATTTTTAGGTATGTCGCTGTCTTTCTGACCAAAAAGTGTGTGTATATTAATGTCTAATAGTTTAGTTTCATGAATGAATTTGGTATATTGTATAGTTTTATACCACATTTTTTGTATTCTCACATTTTTGTTCAAGCTGACAGATTATGTGATTGGCATTAAAAATATTTTGTGAACCACACTGAATAAAAATAAGGAATTAACTTTTAAATTCAATTCCATTGTGTAACATGTGGTAAAAGAAAAATTGTATTTAATGTATTAGAAATCTTTATTTGTATAAAACTATCTTTTATTTGCGCAGGTGATATTGTAGAGCTGTTTATGAGGTATTTCCGTAACTTTGGAGACAAACCGTGCTGCGTGTCAGACCTCAAGATGTTTCTACCATTGTTACCAAATAATCGCACCAAAGATTTCATTCAAAAAGTAAATGAAACAGTTGGCCTCAGAGAAGGAGAACTCCCATCATCGGTATGTTTAAATTAAGAAGGATAATAGATGTTATGACAAATGGTATATACTCTGTAGTATTAAAAATTGTACAGAAACATGTATTTGATGTTCAAATTATGTGTTTCATCTGTGCTTAAAATGAATATGATGAAGTTGTAATAATAGACCACAGATTTCAGATTGTAACAGATGTTACTGTAGATCTAGATTCACATTTTGGTAGTGTATAATGTACATGGCAATTCTGCAGATCAGACGAATGCAGCAACACATCAGCAGTGTTCAGTTGAGTCGTTGTGTGGGCTGTCATATGGACCTCAACGTGGTAGACAAGCTGGCATTGGCATCATCTCTGCTTCAATACTATGACCATGGACACACCTTTAATAGAGATGTTCTGCAGACGGAATTTGCGTGAGTTTGAAATATGTGCAGTAAAACCTTCATATTAGTAATTCAAGGAATAAAAGATGTTAAATGGGATTTTTATTCAGTTACCATTAACATTAAATGTGTAGTGATGTTATCTCTGTGTGTGTGTATGTTTGTGATATTCTTGACCACATATGCATTGGAATATTGCATTTTTACATTGGTCCCTCAGTTAACAATAACAGTTGGTTTTATGAAAACCATCATTAATTGAAATTATCATTAATCAAATGTAGGAGAAACATGTTGAAGGAAAGAGAACAATTTCCACAAGTAATACACATCAAAAACTGAAAGGCAAGCCAGCTGAGCTTCAAACACTCATAAAAGAGGTTGCTGATTGGCTGCGATCTGCTGAATGCACCTAGGAATGCTCTGATTGGCCAAAATTTGGGGCCATGTGATATAAGCATATTGTCAATCAACAATTTATTGCTAATAGAAACAGTGGGGTCCTATTGGAGGTGGATTGTTAATTTAAATGTTATTAATAAGTGGAATCATAAACTGAGGGACCACTGTACTGTATTTCCAAACTTATATAAAACAGTATCAGAGTATTATGTTGATGGCATGTTTTTCTGCGTAGGTGTAATGATCCATACGCTCTCTTGGCTGCACACATTCTGTATGATGTTTGGGTAGACACGGGGAGCAGTCAGCATATTTATGATGCCATTCTAGTACTTGAATATGCACTTACTGTCAGTCCATCAAACTTCCACATCAAACTCTTGTTACTGCGATTCTACACCATATTAGGTTAGTTAGAAGGGTATTGACTTGTTAATTTATGTGTTTCAAGCAATTTGTTTAATTTGTGTAATATATGTGCACAATAAGTGAATTTCATTTCATCAAAAAATTACTAAGATTAAACTGTTGTTAATTTATGCATGTGTAATAGTGTTTTAAAACATATTATATTTTACACAATGAAAATTATATTTGTTAATTAAATATAACTATGGACACTCATATTGCATCACAATGTTTTTGCTACTCACGTACCATGAATTAAGTTATTATAATATTATTAAAACTTGTTATCATGTAAAAATATGTTGTCACTAAATTACCATTAAATTTTATTAGATCCACTACAATTTTATGTTGTTTCTTGAATTCAGTTTGTAGATTGCACATGAAAGAATCTTATAAAATTTCATTTTATTATTGTACTGCTTTCCCTTTAATATGCTGTTCTTGTCTTTTATAATTTTATTAATCTCAAGCAGGTACAATATGGGTCCATATATGATAATCTTATTTTAAGAGATGTTTAAACAGTAATGTTTTCAACATTCTACATTCTGTTTTTAGTAACTGATGATCAAGTTTTACTTGCAGGCTGGCCATTTTTTGGCATTCAAATATATGCTTGTCTCTAATTATGTGTCTTATTTTTAACAACACGAACAAAATTTTTACCAGAATGGTGTCTCTGCAATCAGTTTTACTATTAATTGAATACCAGCTGCAACAAAATTCTTTTGACTCTTTAATGTCTGATTCCAACATGACTCCTTCTCCTCTATATATAGTAAATATGATCCAGCACCAAGGGATTTATGAATAGTTACTTCATTAAGCCTTTAAAGCCTAGTGGTAACTATATGTACCACCTTATTTAATAATAATAATTGCATTTTGCTCACAGAGTTTGCATATGGGTTCTGTATGATTCTCAGAGTAAATAGCATTGTCCAACTGATCTTTGTAACTGAGATGTATTTTCTTTGAGGCATGGGCTGAAATTTCAACTCCTCCTTGTATACAATCACTGATTGATGTTATTCTGTTTGTACAGGGGCTGGAGGTGCAGCTCATCGAGTCTATGAACTGTTGGATGTGAAACACATGCAGCTTGATTCTCTTGGGTATTATCACTGTAACCATATTTTTGTTACTGGTCAGTTGGCGGCAACTTCAGCACTATATGAGGCAACACTCAAGTTTTTTACTGGAAACTATAAAGACGTGAGTTGAGATAGAAATTATTGTAGCTGGATAGCAGCCCGTGCTTTTATTCTTAATCCTGTAAGGAACTATTAAAATGATGTTTGCATTAAGGGACCGCTGTTCAAACTTGTTTGTGCATAACCAAGTATTACTGTTACCACAAAATGTTAGTAGGATACTTGTAGGAATCAGTGCTTTAATCATTGCTTGAAACATCTGTTTATGAGTTGTGCTAGACTAGTTATATGCAAAACTGTAAGAAATTGTTGTAAGTATTGATAAAACATACTATCTTAAAGTCAGTGAGGGAAGGACAACACCAGATGTTATCTCCACGTTTTAAACATAACACTGTTCCTCATATAAATTATTTGTAAAATCTGTCCATGTCTTAGAATTAAATATCTTGGTATGAAATTTATGTTTTTATTTTCTTGTTTCAGAGTGCAGATCACCTGACATTCTCTTATAAATTTGGTTCCTTTCTGAAGATCGAAGAATTTGTTGAGTTTCGAGAAAGGCTGAAAAACTCACTACATTATGCGCTTGTTACTATTGAAAGAATTCTCTTTGAGCTGGTTATAAGTAAAAACTTTTTGGATACGGTTAAGGTAAGGGCTTGAATTGCTGAGTACGACTGGAGTTTGAAATTGTAAAGTTCAAATCTATGCAAATCATTTTGGCATGTATGACCTAAGTAAGATTTTCTTAAATAATGTTATCAGTTTATTACTTAAAAAAAATCATCCTTTATTAGGCTCTTAATACCATTGTTATGCACATATTATAATATTTTCTCCCCCCCTGAGATAGCTGAATCATTTTTTCTCTTGCACCAGCCATTCCAGTAAAGGAAGATGCAGCAAAATTCTCCCCTTTTCTTTTCATATTTAAGCTTTGTCCCATTCAGCATTCATTATCTGTACTTTCAGATCTGTTACTTCATTATTTAATTCCCTCCATGTAAGATTTTATTGTTTAAATCCATTCAGATGAAGGTCTAACTGAACTATCTTCTGAAACACATGCTAGAACTACATTTTCTGTTTTCTAATCAGTCTTTCAGTTAATTTATTTACTTATTTGTGACAGTATATAGAAGGGATGGATGTGACACCTGAGAAAGATAAAGTGGATTGGGATAACCTCCAGGACAATCGGGATGTGCAAGTAATCACATCATGGGATCCTCACTTAAGGTTAGTGTACAGAGTGGAACTGTGTGACATTACAAGTAGTGTGTATTGTGTTAAAGCCCAGTTTGATGTTTGCTTTCTTTGTTGTATGTTTAGTTACATTTGCAGAGGTATAAGAGTTTTCAGTAATGAGTCTTGAGATGCTAGTAGTTCAACTAATCAGAACAGTTGTCATCTTTACATTTGAGGTAGGAAATAGGAAGACAAGATTCTAAGATGGGAAGGAAAAAGATTTTAAATGGAATAGTAGCAAGCATGCCCAAATTTCACTGCCCTTTACTTCCTTTTGCATGTAATTTTGTTTGTCAAGAGATTCGCAGAACTGTATACACAAGATGTGGCCTTTGGTTTGTTGCTCATGTGTAAATATACCATTGGTTTTGCATTGTTTGTCCAAGACATTATTAAGGGGAATGTGATGTGGCCTTAGAGCTTGCAGTACAGGTCTCTCTATTTTTTTTAAGAATGTAGAAAGTTTTTGTGTGGCATATTTCTTCTTCATCCCTTTACCCATGTTTTGTATGATTGTGTACATGTGTTAATTTGGAATGTTGTTATAATATGTGTTTCTGTTACCGAGTTTCTCCAGTTTTGTGTGTTGTTAGCACGCAGTTAATTAAACATGTTTTTCAATTATACCGACAGGCAAGTCTCGAAGGAAATTGAACATCAAATCTTTTTGGATGATATGTCATTCCTGCGTATCCGGAATTTGACGGTTCGGTGCTTGGCAGCGGCTGTGGATATTGGTTGTGCTAATGAAAGCAATTCACCAGACCCGAAGCAGCAGCACCATTCAGACAATGTCGAACCAGTTATGAATGGCGAGATTAAGGACGATGCGATAAGTGTTCCTCGTTATGAAACATTTGTCAAAATCTGTGATGAACTGCTCAGTCTGTACGAAAGTTTTACAGCGAATCCCACTATTCAAGTCTCTCAGGTTAGAGATTAGTATTTTTATTAATATTAAGCCTTGAGATTTTTGGTTTATGTGATGGTGAAGTTCTTGATGGTGGTCTTCTGCTTTAGGCCTTTGTTTTTGGTTCAGGTTAAAACCTGGTCCTTGGTTATACTCAAGCAGTGCAACACACTTTATTATGCACTTCTGTTTCTATACAGAACGTAATTGGAGCGCCGTTACCATCTCGTCTGTATGGTTACTTGGCTTCTTCATCATGCTGTGTACTGTTGGAATTGTTTGGTCTTATTAAATTGCTTATACAAGACAATGAAGACGAATCATTGACAAAAATGGCCAGTACAGCAGCAGAATTGGTTACTTCTGCGGTCCGAAAAGCCAGTGGAATGATTAAAGTCCATGGTTCAGACGGCACAGATCAACTTGCTGGGAGGAGAGGAGTATTGGAATATGTAGTCAACACAGTTGAGGTAAGGTTTTTGTTTATTTATGGACCAGTATTACTCATGTTACTTAAGTTATGAGAGTCAACTGTATTTGTTTGTTTCTATGTATGAATTGAAAAGGTTATGTAATAATAACAATAATTAACCAGGGATTCTCAGTGCATAATTGTCATGTGGTATGCCTATGTGTTTTGTGTGGCCTTTGGTCAGGTTTGTGATATATGACTTCATATAATGAAAACATAGTTTCCACTTAAATATTTAATCTAAAGTAAATTAGCTACTGTTGACCTGAAAAATTAAAATTGCCATACACCTTACTGAATTGTGTTATGTATGCAGATGATTAGCTTCGCTGCCATATTGTGTGGTGTTGGGCATAGTCTGGTGAGGCCGTTTAAAGCTACATTAATTGGGAAGAGTAAGAAGAAAAAGAAAAATTGCAACAACCAACGTGTGAGTACTTTGTTATTGTAGTGTTCTATTTACCTATAGGTTATTTAATGATGTTGTCAGTAACTTAGATTGTATGGTGTTGAATAAAAGAATAATTACTGAATAATGAATTGCAAATGACATGGAAAGATGCTGTCATAGCCTAATTTAAGATAATATCTTTGAATTTGCCTTGAAGGTCTTTGGAAAACCATAGAAATTTTTAGTCAGCACACATTTACTATATGTTTAAGATACACTTGTGTGATGTGTAAGTACCACTTGTTACCACTTATGGACCTGAGAACCATGATTGTCCAGTTGTACAGGGGGATTTTTTTCAAGATGTCATATTGTTATGAAGGCTGGTTCATATTGACAAGAAGTTGTTTAACAAAATTGTGGTTATATTAAACATATGCTTGATTGAAGACGTTTCTCAAGAAAGTGTGCATGAGGATCTGTAAACTTTATAATGTTAGGATGGGTGTCTTCTGGGTTGTAGCACTGTGTAGCCTGGTTTAAGTTTATCAGCATTTCAGAGATCTTTGCTGTCTTATCTGGATGACGTCTAACACTAGATACTGAAATTATTAATTTTTTGAACATTTTCATGCTTCGGTATTTTGCGTGTCATTCTGTATTTTTTGTTTCTTCCATTTTAGAATCAGCAGTCACAATTGAGAAGGATAGAAGTGTTAAACAAACTTGTATCAGAACTTCAGGGTGCAGCAGAAGAACTGGATTCTGCATTGGAGTACTGGGAATCACTCCCACCAACTCTGTCTGTCATCTCAATTTTTGCTGAAGACCTGCCATCACACCTACAAGCACTGTGTCTCTTTGAAAGTGAACATGGTAATCAGAATGGTTGCTGTAACTCAACACGAAGTGGTCTTGGATCAGCTGTGGACACAAAACTATATGATAGCCATATGTCTTCACTTAGAGAGATTCGGAATCTGCTGCAAGTGAAAATAAAGTATCTATCCAGTGTAAAGATTTAACGATAAATTTACTCGGCCTGAAATCTAATGCATGTGGAAGCATTAGTTGTGAAAAGGTTTTTGTTGAAATTTGTTGCAGTGGAAAAATGTTCATTTATTGGTAGAAGTATGTGGTTTTGCAGTGCAGAAGAATGTTATAATGGGAGAAATATGTGCAAATCTTCTGTTTTATAATATATTTCAAACAGATAGCGCATGAGGATACAGCTTTAAGCAAGAAAAAGTGTCTTATTATCATATTTTGTTATGTACATTGCCTGCCTGTATCTTATGGTGGCATAAAAGTTTTAAGCATTTTCTGGTATTTTGCACACTGAAGTTGTATTTGTACCCTTCTGATCAAAGTTGTATATGTTTATTACAGTACTGTTATATAAAGTAAAAAGTATGGAAACTGACATTTCTGGGTCACTGAGTGGTCTGAATTTCTTCTTCCTTGTGTACTCTAGGCAATGTAAACCAAGAAGTTTTTACCTGTAGAGGATATTATCATATTAATTGCACTTCTGGATGCAGTTTCATCATTTTGCTTATATATAGGATTATCAGGAAGCCAGGTACATGAGCTCTGATACAGTTTTATTTGTGTCAAAAATTACAATATGACTGTAGCAGTTACTGAAAATGTGAGAGTTGACTGAGTAATTTTTGAAATGCATATTATAGTATTTTGTTTTACTTCTGTTGTGTGAGGATTGTATTGCACACATATTTTCAAAATCACCAAAGTTAAGTCACATGATGGGTCCAGAGGGGGAGCCACCAGAAATAATGATGTCTCTAAGGAAGTCTTGCAGCATTTTCATTGTTGAGTTTGTGGAATGAGCTGTTACTCCATCCTTCTGAAATCAGCGGTTTTGTTCCTCAACTTCCAGAAGAGGAACTAATCACTTCATCAGTTGTTGGTAGCATTAGGTTTTTACAGTATTCCTGAAGAAAGGAGGGCTGATGTCAATGTGAAACTCTACATCTCACTCAAACATTTAATTAGTGTGAATATGTGTGCTTTATTCAGGAATGTAAACTGTCATATTTTGAGAAGAATGTAAGTGTATGATTCTATCACAGAAGGATGCAAATAAAAGAAATTTGTATCAGTTTGATGTACCTTTAGTGTTATGAAACAGTTGACACATAAAACTATCTTTTGTAGGACTACTGTAAATATGGTGTTATAGTTGTGTGATGTGTTAATGGATAAGTTCTGGAAAGGTCAAAAACTAAAACTGTTCCTTAGGTAAACTAATTTATTTTTACTGATATGAATAAAGATTCATAGTAGGTTTACTTTCTTAGAAGTTTGTACTTTATTGTCATTTACATTTCTTATATTCTCAGTCCTAAGAGCATCAACTTTTCTATTTAAGTAATTGAACCCATTTGGCAGTCTTAATTAACACATTGTGATATCAGAACTGAGTTGCGTGTGTGTGATACAGAATGTACTGTTAATAGAACAAACCAGGAAAGTTGTTCAAATTTTATGGTTAAACATAGCTGGAATACGTGCCTTAATGCATGTTCAGGTGCAGATGGCTTAGTTATATTTCAGCATGGCTTCCAACAAATATAATATACAAAAATTATGAAATTCTTCCACAATGATTTTATTAATCTGGATAATTACAGTACAGCATAATATATCATTATTACAACTGCCAGGCTTCAAAGTGAAATTGCTGCAAGAAACACAATTGTGTGTATGTATAAATAAATCCATTGTTACTTGTAGGTGATGCAGATAATTTTACAGAAAAGTGAAAATAAACTTTAAGAAGATCTTGCATTGGAAAGAATAAATGGGTTTTACATTGTGTGTGATTTGCTGTAAATTTATGTTCTGTCCTCTATGCTATCTGTTTGTGTAAACTGTAACGTTGTATTTTTCCATTTGGGATGTTGCACACATGTTCTGAGAGATGTTACCATTTGGATCCTGTAGTATTATAGTAAGAGCACTTATATTTATGCTTATTAAGTAAGGAGGATTGCAACTGTATTAGAACAGCCAATGATGATAATGCAGTGCCCTCTGTTGTTTGGAAAGTACTATACGTTGTGTCGTAACATCTATACAAAAGAGTCCAGAAGTTTGAATTTTACATATAAAATGAGAGCCACATAGAAACTTCCTCCAGCAACTAAGAATAAGTTTTACGGTAATATAAATGGTATTTTATGGACACACTTGCTACATACATAGAATTTTGATAGCCATTATATGCTGACATAAAAGGCTGAAAATTAAATATTTGTAATTAATGAAAGTCTCTTTGAGATCATAAGCTAGTGTATTATGGAGACCCTACACTGATAAATATATAACACATTTGTTTCATGTTTATTATTGTTCACATAATTACCTCAGAATTTTTTTTAAAAAAAATAGAACTCTTTTTCAGATCTTGTAAATGGCTTTTATAAATAGTTGTCTAATGTATTCTTGGTTCTTTTACATGCAGTATATCCATTCACAGAATAAAATATGATGACAGAATGAAGATTTGTTTTAAATGAGCATGCAAAGAAGTAGAAGCTTCTTTTTCTTTCTTGCAAGGTTTGGGCCCAGTAGACCTGTTTAGAGGTTGCATAAACTGTTACAAAGTGGAAGCAGAATTTTTAATTAGAATGCAGACTGGTTTTTCATCGTTAAAAGTATGTTGTAGATAAAGAAAATCAATACAGAATGACTAGAAAATGCTGTTTTATTTTTCTTTTCTCTGAGTAGTAACATACATAAACTACAAATGTGAACACACTTTAAGGGCCCAGTGTTAGGGTTTACTGTAAAAGGACACAGGATGAGGGTTAAATTCTTTTCTAATTAGAAAAAGTATTTTCCAATTTTTCTTCATATACAGACATTGACTGGAAGCATCTGTGAGATCACTTTATTTTCTTTTTAAGTCTTCTGCAGATGAAGTTGCAGTTATGCTGGCAAAATATTTTGGTTTTGATTGTGTCATATTAATTGGTAGTTTATCTTACGTATATTTGTGATATTCACACACTATCAAATAACAATGAAAACGGAATAAAAAAGAGTAAAGGAGTAGAAGTACTATTTTTGTTTCAAGTGTATGAATCACTAGGTCCTAATTTAAAAAAAAGGTCTTTATGTTGTTTTTTTCAGGACTACAGCAGTATCAGGTATAGTACGCGGCTGTAATCTTGAGACTTGCAAGGAATGCAGGAAGTCTGAAGGGTTAAAGGCTGACGCTATCTTTCCTCCTTCCTCCTTCACCCCACTTCCTCACAAGTCTCAAGATTACAGTCTTATACTGTACTTGAGAGTTTTATAATTATACATTACTTAAATGATAATGTAAACATATGTATCACAGGAAGGACCTTTAGAAGTACTAGTACTAGAAGCAATCATACATTTTGTTCAAAACAGAACTCTCTCAGTACTGGCGAAAGTGTTGGAGAGGCTATTGTTTAATGTCGTATTTATCATCAGTAGATGCCAAATTTATTTTTTCTAAGTTAATATAAAAGGATTACTTAAAGATAAATATAAAATTGGTGTATATGTGGACATAACTTGTACATAAATACTGCTTCTTGATCAATCATATTATTTTGTTCTTTTATTTTTTGATAACCTTTGATATAACAATCTTCTTGTTTCATGCCTTTAGGATGTGCTCATTTTATATTAATGCCAATGTGTGTGCAACATTCTATGTCATGTGTAATGTATGAAATGAAAAATACCAATCAATGAACATGATTATAGTTCAGTTTTCAGAATTCTTCCAGTACAGGTTTTCAGAATTTGTTACATCTATCTGGATATTATACACAAGATTTTATGTTCCCATGGCAGTGAAGGTGTCATTGTTGGTTTTTGTGGGTGGTAATGCCATGTGGACTTGTAAGTAGATCCCATCATTTTGGAGGAAAATAACTGCCATCAGCATTACATTGGTATGTACCTACAAGTTTACATGGCATTACGACCAAGAAGACCAACATGCTGTACATGTACAGATTAATTATAGCTATTTTTTGTAACTGTTATATCTGAAGACTTGATATTTGTATTCCTATTTCTGGACTTATGAAATTATATGATCAGATACAAATTATATTGGTGGAGGTTCATTTACTGTGATATGTATAAAATATATATGTAACATATAAGTATAGGATTAATAATTTCTGTTTATGTTATGAAAATGAGCACCTGATCACTTGATGAGAATTTTCAAGTTTTCGTATTGTTAGCAAGATGATAGGAGCTAGATGCCAGAGTGAGCTATGGTATCACTGCTTTGGTATCATTTTGTTCATTTTATGTAGTTGGTAACCATATGTCTCAAAATTCCAAACGTCTGATGCAGTTCTTGTAGGTTTTTGCAACTATAGTTCAGTTTGTAACTTTGGCTTCCGGGTGAAAGCTACACCGAAATGTTGTTGAAGAATGAATATTTGACATGCCTGCCACTCAAAAGCTGAAGTCATATGTCAGTTGCAATATTCAGTGTCTTGAATAAGACTGTACTTAAAACATGCTCTAGTAGACAGTGCATTTACATGAAACATGACATTGATTCAAGTTCAAAATTGCATTTTAATTTATACCATTTCTCAGGACACATTATAAGAACAGCAAATTCTGGACTACTTTCTCAGTACTATAAGACATAATTCATTAAATATTAAACAAGATGAGATAATACAAGGCATTTTTATATTTTGATCATGGGCTACATAATTTTAAACCATATTAACCCCCTGAAGTAAACACCTTGCTGTCATAATGAGATTAAGCAACTATAGTGCTATGACTTAAAGGTAACAGTATTATGAATAGTCTTGAACAATGTGTTAGAAATTATACTGCACATATTCCAAGCACTTTCGTGATATACAGTTCTATCGTAAAATACTTAAATATCAATAATTTGTACATAGATACTGGTAGAATTCAGAAAACTGTTCTACCACTGCTTGTTTCTCAAGGGTGGTCATATAAAGAAAAAATATAATGTATATGAATGATATGTTTACACTGATAAATGACTGTCAAGTCAGTAAGGGTAAAAAGAATTCCGTCTTCTGAAATGTTGGTTAACATCGACCAGACTACACAGCGCAACAACCCAGAAGACGGAATTCTTCATACTCACCGCTGTGAAAACCTCAAATCCTACACAGTAAGGGTAAGATTATCAATTGGTCTGATATTGACAGTGAATAAGAATGGAATGGGAAATTTATGATATCACAGGCTGTTTTGAAAAAAAATTATAGTTTTATTTGTAAACATCTTTCTGAATCATTTACACATTCATCATGTATGTATATGTGTGCATGTACTGTATATATGCGTACATATGTATGTGCTTTCAAAAATTTTCAGTCATTATTTAATGGACAGTTTTAGTATACTTATTAACTCAGTCATTTCAATCAAAAAGTAAGTGAATTATCATTTATCCTGAGAAAGGACCTGTTATGTATAAATGCATCAGCACAAAACACAGATGACTTGAATGAATAACACTTATTAGGTGATGTAAGTGAATTGTCTGTATTGATTATTTTTCTGTGGACCTGTTCTACTACTCCACATCATCGTATAACTTCTAGTTATATCCATTATGCAAATGATTCAGAATGGTGACAGTGGATTTTAAGTGACAGCCAACAATTTGATAACAGGAAGTTCCTGGTTGAAATGGCAATTTAATAAGCATTACTGAAATTGAGAATCGAGGGGTTTAATTCACTCTTTAAAACCCAGTTGTAATTGTATGTATTACCTACTTTAATAATATTTATGGGTTCTGTATTATTCTGAGAGTAAACAGCACAAGCAGTTGATTTTTTGCAAATGAGGTATGATATGTTTTCTTTGAGGTAAGAATTGAAGTCAAATATAATTTTTATGAACTGTGGATGCAAAGGATTAAGGGACTTGATGTAGACAGAGAGGAGTTATATTTGCTAATGTGTGATGGTATGGGGTGGACCAGTCTGTAGTTACCAAACTTATATGATTGCATCTTCTATTTCTGACTTACAAATGCCGAATCAAATTACATAGCTAAACACAGTTTTATAGTCAGTGATGCCTTAATGATTTATTGTTTTCTTTCAGTTCCGTACTTACAAGCCTCAGGCTGTATGGTGTTCATAATAATTCTCCTTGTGCAGCTATTCTTATATTTGTGATAAAAGCGTAACATCTTTACGGATTTGACGAATTAATGTGCATCCCAATTTTATAGAAAATTCACACACTCACATAATTTCATCTATATTTAAACATTTCTGATAAGCAGAGTTCTATTCCTAGATATTGCATGTGAATTTGTCTGATATAACAACTCATTTTTTTTAGAAAGAACTTGAAGATTTGTTTGTGGGACAGTGCACTTTAAAAAGATTTAGGTGGTGTCAAAACTGGACTGTAGCTTCCTAAACCAAAGCATGGAAAGTTTTTAGAATTAACTAATAGTTAATTCTTAATTAGTTTTAATTTTTTTATGAATATTCAGTTCTGCAAGTATGAAGTAATATAGCTTTAAACTGCATGGCTTTATTCCTGCTACAGTTGTTTTACAAAGTTTATAGAAAATATAAATACAAAATTTGTTATCTTTCTTAAGCTCCACATGACAGGTGGAAATACTGTTGAGTGTACTTAAGTGCAACTACAAACATCTGATTTTTGGATGTTTCTTAGGTGGTTGAATTTGTGTATGCAAACAGCAAAAAAAAAAATTGAATAATATTTTTTGCTGGAAGCTGCAGTGAGTTGAAACAGTCAGTAACTGTGGTTATGTAATACATTAGATTTAACAAATGTAGTGCCACCATATTTTTTGTGGCTATCTGCCACCTCTAAGCCGAAATTAAAAACAAATAAGGAATTTTTAGAGGATTTCTTTTAAATATGGAGAGAGACATTTTTATTGATAAATTACAATAATATCCTGCATGTTTAAGGACAAAGGCAGACAGTTTTCTAATGGTATGAAGGTACAGGTCGTTGTTTATGGATGTTTTATACATATTCATCTCTGGTATAAATAATGTTAAGATGAGAGATGTGTACCTTCCCTCTGTCTACGTCTTTCTGTAAATTGTATAGTTTGTGCAAAGAAAATGTGATTTTATGAATATCTCATTCCTATAAGTTTTCCTCACTCATAATGAGACTTGTGAATATTCTTCAGTAATAATACTTAATGATTTTGGTACAACACTATAGTGTTTTTCTTACATGTACGGTTCTTATTGTGTGCTGTACAGATGTATACAGACTGACTTTTGTCTTTCGATAAATGGTTCTAATTGCACTAATTTATACTTTTGTGGATATGAAAGAGATTGTGTAATTTACTATTACTTGCCTTCAGTTTAGTTATGATCCAATTTATTTCATTGTTTTGGGTGTGTACAGCATTAGCCAAAAGTCATTCCTTATAGGAAAGATTATAATTTTGTGTTATTTTATATAATGAAGTACCCTATGGGAATTTCTGAAAATGTAATTTTTAATTGTCTTCTTAATTTTGAAGGTATACTGCAAAGAGAGAAATGTACTGTAGAGACATTAATTTGTATGAAACTTATAAGGTGTGATTTTTGCAGTGCCCATTGAGTTTTTAAATTTAAAATCTAATTAAACTAACTTGCAGAGTTACACATTTCAGATACTGTATTGCTTTGTTTGCAGAGTAATTTTACTTTGTTGTTATTTGTATTAGTAGTGTTCAGTGCTCCATAAAATGTTATGTTTAATTTTACACTTTTAGACATCTCAGGTGTAAACATCTTTGCATCTCAGCACCTGACATTTTTTCAATAGCAGTGTTGTTAGGATTGCATTGAAGTATACTTGAAGCAGATGTTGACACCAGTGTTGTAATTGAATGATTACCCTTCTGAATATTTTATTCCCACCATTATTTTCCCTTTAGAAATCCAAAGTTTTATTAAGTTCTAGTTTGCATGTTGATTGATGTTTTGAAGGATATAATCCAACTATAGGTTGTGCTGAATATTTGTATGCAGCAGATACAGCAGACACCTTCAGTTACAGTCTTATTTACCTTGCTGGCTTCTGCAATGCTTGGTGTACCAGGTATAGAAAATTATTTTTGAAGTGGAAACACCCATGAAACAGATTCTGCTGTTCTTGCTGGTAAGAACATCAATAATGGGTATTTGATGGGTCTGCTTAATAACATGAATTCTGAACCATAATGGGGATGAGGTGTTCACTTCATACTTGAATTCGATCAAAGTGCAGCAGAAGTGAAGTTATAGAGGTGTTCACTTCATACTCGAATTAGATCAAAGTGCAGCAGAAGTGAAGTTATTGATTTGTGGACAGGAAAATCTGTACATTCCCATTGTACTGCACTTCTAAGTTTGACAGTTCTGAACAAGGTAAGTGATTTTTCATGGTTATTGTAGTATGCACATTTGTACGGCATAAATAGTAAGTTAAAAGTTTTCTGAAAAATGAGGCAATGACAAGGTATTAAAATAAGAATATGAATTTTGTTTTAAAATTTACAGTTCATAAGAATTTTAATTTCCTCTTTAGCATTATTTGAATGTGTATTTTATTAAAACAAAAAGGAAGGGTAACAAAGTTTTGAAAATTTTGGCATTTGACACCTGTCATGTCTTTTGCCTTCATGATTAACTTTGGATATAAATACGGTGCTTGAACAAGAAAGTTATAAAAAGAGTGAAAGTAAAGAGTTTTGCCAATATTATAGTCAGGATATTCTGTATAGTGTGTTTGGTTAGAAAGAACCTATTTCTGAATATATGGAGTTGAAATAAGGGTTACAACATTTTTTACGGTTAATATAAAGCAGAGATACTTCACAGTCATTCAATCCACCGTACTCCGTTTAATCAAGAGTACTACATCTTGGAAATATTTCCTTCATTGCACTGTAGCCTCTAAACGATGGTTCACTGTGATTGGCTAAAAAGTTACATGTACTTGGGCATGCGTATAGACGTATCACCCATTTGCGCCAACAAGGGGGATGTAGGAATTTGTTGTGATTGCTTTATTTTTAAAAAAATAGATTTGAGTAATGTTTTTAAAAATAAAGTAAATATTGTATTATCTTTAGTGTCTTAGATTGTGTAAAAATGAAAAGTAACTGGAACTATTGTTTTATATTTTAGCATAAACTTGTGACAGATGTGTAAATATTTCAGAAGATTCAGGACGTGTAGTCTACACTCCGAAGTGCAGAAGAGACTGCTTTGTGATCTTTCAATGGATTAAGGGATCCTGTTCTGTTGTAAATAAACTGAGTAACGCTCAAGTATATATTATAATCCAGAATGACTACTGTAGAGTATGATCTGGATACCTCAGGGGGACTTATGCCCGTGAGTAGCAAATCGTCAATGGAGCCATCTTTGTGGTAAAATGGCGGTTGTGTTTTTCCAAATGTTCACAAAAATACGATCAAAACTTTGGTTTTGTTCCTTGTCAGTAACATTGGTACTCAGAAATTTAGAAATAATATATGAAAACACTTGTTACAGCAAATACAAGCTCTTATAGCCCCTCCTATAAGTGATGAAGCTGCAAAGGCCAAGAAAAGGGAAGGG